TTTAAGGTAAATTAGCCCAAAGGCTGATTTAAACATCAGTTGGAGGGTAGAGGTGAGCACGGGAGATAAATAGTCTAGTCACCTCTTGGTTTCCTAAGAAGGAGTGGACTGCAGGAAGACCCTCCCCCCGCTGCAAGTGGCAGGAGACAGGAAGTAGAAACAGGAGAGAAGCAGCAAAAGCTCAGAAGGACTCGTTGGGAACAGCACAATTATTAGACGAAACAGGGAAAGTTAGCAAGCAAAGAAAAAGGCTGCGAACACGGACCAAAGCAGGAGCTAGAGCGGAGCGACAGCACAGTTTGCTCGACTACCTGGCGAAGGTTAGGGTTAATGGAATGAGATCTACCTAAAAGAGATATTTTAGCGTCCCGGGTACCAGGCGGCTATGTAGAGCCCGGATTGTACAAAAGCTTAATGGAGACAGTCCTGTCTGAGTGATGTGTTTACCAATGAGCTCCAGGATGCTGCCGGAGCGTGCGCGACTCTCTGCGTCCTGCCGGAACACGGAGCCATGCAGGATGCTGCCCGCTGTGATGAGCATGTGCAGGAGCTCTGGCGGGGGGGTCCTGAACATCTGCTGCAGGAGCTCCAGAGACGCTGTGACCACATTGTGATCCCAGTGCTGCGTGTAGTGTAACGTCAGCTCGTACACCTTCGGACACACAAATGTGAAATGGAGCAAATACTAAAAAAATATATATATATCCAATCGATTTTCTCTCTACCTGTAGGAGCTGCTCAGGTGAGGGCTGGACGTCGGCCTCCTTCCTCGTGACTCCGAAGCTTCCTTTGAGGCTGGATGTGTTAACCTGCTGTTGCAGCAGAGGCATCAGGTAGCGAAGGGTCAACAGGACCCCCAGAATTAGGTGTGTGGGATGCTCCTCATCCACAGGAACCAGCAGACCTAACACATGAAAGGACAGGTCAGGGTGTGTGCTCTTATTCGATGTCTGTTGCCTGGGTGCTTCAACTAGATCTCAAATTTTCGCTGGGGTAATCTTATAGGGATATTCCAGTGGATTTTAGGTGGGAAAATATGCTGAATTCAACATAAAATGGAATGATAATGAGTTTTTCTTTGTTAAATAAATGATGCAGAAGCAGGGCTCTCGACTAACTTTTTTCACCATCCTCCCGGAACCGTCCCGAAATACAATCTAAGCCGTCCCGAAATTAATGTGGACCGTCCCGAATTTAAAATATTAGTTTTTCTACTACTTATCATTAGTTAAAATCATTCAAAGTGACCTTTAACATAAATAAAACATCATACAAATCATTAGATGATAATTCATCAACCTTTTTATTTGAGTAAATCAGTCAATCACATGACAAAGGCCAAATATATTTAAACAAACACACAAACGAGAAAATTACNTTTCCTTGTTGTTTATGTATATATCGATATTCAATTTCAGTTTATTATGTTTTTGTTAGTGTGTTATTTTCGGTCTAGCTTTCTCCATCAAAAAACACTCAAAACCTTCCCCGGCTTCCAGCCACGTAGGGACTACCCCAACACCTCACTCAAGTCTCCTCCCCCGGTTCGCGGCTGCCTCCTTTTTGAGAGGGGGGTCCAGGGCCACCTACGCCCACCCCTACCAATCTCAACCGAAGACTACTCGCCTCCGTTCGCCCTTCCCCAACCACACGTCGTCCAGACACCTCCATCCCCCCCCCCGGGACTACACACTCCGCTTTCTTTTCTCTTCACTATTATCTGTAAAGTGTCTTTGAGCACCTGTAAAAGCGTTAACAAATTAAATCTATTATTATTATTATTATAAATAAAGAGTCCGCTGTATTAACGACTTGCACCATTATTGTTGGATTATGATGGTAGGGTTTAAAAGCCAATGCAATAATTAATTATATAGAGAACACAGAACATTGCCTCTTATTTGCACACAACATTATGTAGAGCAGCTGACTTGTATGAACTTCTCAAAAAGTATTATTCTTTCTACACTACATCCTTCACTCTTTATACACAGCATTACCCAGTTGACATGTGACAAATGACCAGTGTTGCCGTGTTTGACTGGGCAGTACTGACTTCAGATATTAAGCATTCCATCCACTTGGCTGTTGGCAAGATATTTAATTATAGTCCTGTTTAGCGATGGAATGACTTCCAACAATTATATTTATTGGAGCTACTTTTCAGTACCTCTTTTCTCTTGTTTTCCATCCCTTTTTCTCAAACTTTTCATGTTCTCTTTCACAGGAAAAAAGAACAGGCTACTACGAAGAAGGACAGGGTCACCCACTGTCTGACAATATGTGAAAACATCGTGGCGCAGTCTCTGAGGTAGGCCTTGTTGGTGTAACTTGTTTTATTCAATCAAATTAACGTTTCACAGTGTTTTTAATGAAACTTGAGCTGGGCTACATTGAAATTGTACCCCTTCTGATTCTGAAAATATGTATGTGCGTAATGACATTTGGCTCACTTTTCCTCCCTATGGTTCTGGGAGCAGAACGTCTCCAGAGTTTCAGAAACTGCTGGGCATCGCTATGGAGATGTTCCTGCTCTGCAGTGATGACAGCGAATCAGATGTCCGGATGGTAGCCGACGAGTGCCTGAACAAAATCATTAAAGTGAGCAGGACCCTGTACTTCTCCCTCCTTCCCTCCGTCTACCCCTTTCAACTCTGTCTCCATTAAAGGCACTGGTGGCCTAAGAGAATTTTTTGAATTTTTCTTATACATTTTTTGTGCCTTTACAGAAAAATAAGCTGTGATTTGGGTTTGTGTATTATGATAATACTTCAACAATCCATTTGAAGACAATAAAGATACACGTATTATTATCAAACAATTCTTCCCCAAGATAGCTTCCAACAAAAAAGGTGTGAAATAAACAACTAAAATACTTTTTTTTGTAATGTTTATTTTCAGGCGCTGATGGACTCCAACCTGCCTAGACTGCAGCTGGAGCTGTACAAAGAAATTAAAAAGGTATAAAGATATGCGTCTGTGTTTTTTTTTTGGTTTCTGTCTAGTGTTTAGTGTTCAATCTAAAGAGTGAAAATGAAATCACTCTGATGTGAATGAGTCTGTGTGTCTCTGTAGAATGGTGCCTCTCGGAGTCTGAGGGCGGCTCTGTGGAGGTTTGCCGAGCTCGCTCACCTCATCAGACCACAGAAATGCAGGTATGCACACACAATGCCTGGAAAGGACTTTTTACTTCATTCATGTGACAAAACCGTTTTAATAACATAAGGCCAAACTCTAAGGGGAAACCCCATTTGAAGCATTGCACATCTGGTTCTGATTGTAAACTTGCCTTCAAAAAATGAGTTGTTAGTTAAAGAAAAACATTGCTTGCCTCTCAATCAGAATGTATTAGTGGAAGAAACATCAATTACTAACTCTTGGTAAATCCTTTTTACTGCACCAACTGAACATGTTTCCACTGATACTGATGTTAAAAATAAAAACTTTAGTGATTTGGGTTTGAACCCATCCTCCTCATCTGTGTTGCAGACCCTACCTGGTGAACCTGCTGCCGTGCCTCTCCCGAATCACCAAGCGGCAGGAGGAGAGTGTGCAGGAGACTCTGGCTGCTGCGATGCCCAAGATCATGTCCGCCTTGGGCCACTTCGCCAATGACGGCGAGATCAAGGCATCTACACAGAGCAGAAACATCACAACTGTTTATTATGGAAATGTTATTTGGGTTAAGATAACTTTAGCTTTTAATGGTTGTTTTTCTACATTTTGTCTTTGGGAATTTGATGTCTCAGGTTTCTTATTTTCTTTTACCAATCACAAATATGCTTGAGTTAGTTTACCTGAAAGTCATTATTAAGAATTACATTTTTCGAAGACTTAACATCTTATTACAACTAATACACCACTGTATAGAACAAAAGTGTGCACACTTTTTACTTCAACTTTTTTTTTAAATATATTCTATTTTCTTTTAATAAAAATTTCAAATGGAGCAACTGTCACAAAACCCAATTTTCCTTGGATGAATTAATTGTTCGGATTACATTTCTGTGAGAAATGTATCATTTTTAAGATGCATTAGATGCAGCATTTATCATTTAACAAAAATGACTGGAAAAAGTGTGTTTATATATTAATTTGAGGCAGTTTGCACAATTTATTAGGTACATGTTGAAACAATTGGCTCTCATTGTAGTCCAACCCTTGTGGTCCCAGGTGCTGCTGAAGTCGTTTGTGGCCAACCTGAAGTCCAGCTCCCCGACCATCAGACGCACAGCGGCCAGCTCCGCCGTCAGCGTGTGCCAACACTCCAGACGCGCCAGCTACTTCTACACCTGGCTCCTTAATGTGCTGCTGGGTAAGGACACACACACTTTTCCCCTTCCCAGTTTCATTTAAAGGCTATTTTGGCCCTTTCAGATCGGGTTGTATCGTATGAGGTGCTTATCTAGTGCATTAGATGGCATTCAGCGTGGCCCAAGCCTGGGGAAGCAGGCAGGAAATCTGGAAGAAAAGCAATATACTTCTGCATCATTTATTTAACAAAGAAAAACTCATTATCATTCCATTTTANCGCCGAACTGCATTGTGGGAAGCAAAGCGAAGATTTCCAGGATTTTCAGGATTCAAAAGTTGAGCAATGTTCAACTTTTGAAGCTGAGGTGGAAGCGTCAGCCATGACGCTTCCACCTCAGCTTCAAAAGTTGAACATTGCTCAACTTTTGAATCCTGAAAATCCTGGAAATCTTCGCTTTGCTTCCCACAATGCAGTTCGGCGAAAAGTGAGGCAACGTGACGTCACCCCATTCAAAGTGAATGGGCAGAAGCGTTGGAAGATTTTTTAACGCTGCTATGTGGACGGGCCGTCATAGAGACCTGAAAAGAATTGTTTTTTATGAGGGGGATACCTTATCTTTGATAATTACTTACTGAAACATGTTCAACACATACAGATGTGAGCAATGCCTTAGGTCTTTCCCTCACGCTGAATCTGAGCTTGGATAACCCACACTAATAATAAAGCAATGTTTGTAGCATAATTGTAAAATAGAACGCTATTGTAAAATAAAACGTTTCTGTCCTAAAGGACGGATGAAGGTTGGTGGAAGTAACCTGTTAGCCTAGCAGCTCCTGTTACCAAATAAATACATGTTAATGAATACTGATTACTGATGATCTTGTCTCTGCTCACAACCACCAACCAGGTTCTGTTTGACCTTCTTTGACAAAGTGGCTTAGCAACAAATACAGAATATAATATGGAAAGAGAAAGAAGACAAACTTAAACTAAGAAGGACTAAACTGGAGATAACACAATTCACAGAGGTTCAGGACTGGAGTTTTCACATGTTGGGTTTGGGAAAGGCATAGGGTGTGAGGAAAGGAAGGAAGGAAGTAATGAAGGAAGGAAGGAAGGAAAGAAGAGAAGAAGTACCTTAGCCCCCACCCCCTCGGACAGTTGCCGGAGCACTAGCACTTGCCTCTCTTCTGAACAGGCGGTAGAAGAAGCCTCTCTTTGGTGGAGGGTTCGGCCGGTTCACGTCCAGGTCTGAGCACAGCGTCCCGTCAGTCTCGTAGACGTTGATTTCTTTGAAGCACTCCATCTCAATCATCTACAAACAGACAGGAGGTGGAGTTGTGGATTATTTTTAATACCTTTCATGAGTTTAACTGTGAGTTGATTTTAAACCTGAAATCTGACTTTTCTTTAACTTTTTGTACTTTGGAATGGTCTCAAAATGTTGATACCTAGCTTTTGAGGATCATTATAACCCCAGGTAAAAGACTTTCACAAAATAATAGCTCCAGTGAATTTCTCCCTACATTGCTTGTCTTACTAACATAATCAACTCTATGTGTTCAATGGGGAAAATGACTTTATATATTTCTCTCTTAGACTCCAAAAGAATATGTGGGATAAATATTGGGGAAAATGGGATTTATATGAACGTCAAGAATGTATTTTTCATGCCTCTTATGCATTCTTAACTGTAACTGTGCTTTTAGTTTATTATATTGAATTCCCAATCCCAGTCCTCACCTGTTCTATGTCAAAATAAAGTAATACGTTTTTTTTTAGTTTTTTTTTTTTAAAAAGGTCCGTTAGCATATGGGCAGCTGCCATTTGATTTATAACACAACCCTCTCTACTGGTAGATGTGAAAGTATCCATCTGGATAGGGATTTAATAATGTAAATGAACACCTCCTCCACACCTCGCCTCATACATATTCAGTCACTTGACACATTCACACTCAATGTGTGAAAACTCATCTCATCTCATTTATCCTTGCTGACTCTTAAAGAAAGCTATTCTTTACTGACAGGAGTGTCCCCCAAACTGCTATAAATATAATTGAATTAATTATAATATAAATAACATTTTTGTTAGGGAGTCTGTTCCACAACTATAATGACAACTGTGGCAAATGTCATCATGATGATCGCTTTAAGATTGAAAAGTAGGCCCAACTGTATGTATTTCAGGTTTAGATTTAATTACTAAATGTAATTACGCCAAACATTAGGCACTTTCACACCAAGCGCTTTTCCCAGGAACTTTTATTTCCCCGGAACTATCTAGTAAATCGCGTTCACACCGGAATAAATCCCTGAGGGAGGATTACGCAAATGAAGCCGCTGACGTCACTTCTTCTTCTTCTTCTTCTTCTGCTGGCAGGCCGCAAACAACTTCACGGCGTATACTGCCACCCGAAGTCCCGGAGCCCCCCGGAGTCCGGGACTTTGGGTGGCATTAAATCGCCACCCGAAGAACCGGGTAAATCGCCAGAAGTACAGACACCTCCTCATCACTCCACCGATCCCATGTTTTATTTTGTGTTGCCATAAGTTAGTCTCTCTCCGTTGGTGCGCTGGGCTAATGCTAATGCGAGGAAATAAAATGGCGGCTTCACAAAAACCTTTCAGAGTTTTACGGGGCGTGGTTTGCAATTTGCCCAGCCAATCAGAAATTGGAACCTTTTTCTCCCCAGGAAAGTACCTGCTCTCAAGCAGGGACTAAAAAGGGGTGAAAAAGTTCCCGGAAAAAAAATCTTTTGGGTGTGAACGCAACATCCCAGGAACTATCGGAACTATTTCTGGGAAAAGTACGGAAAAAGTACTCCGGTGTGAAAGCGCCTATTAGCCACCTTTAACTTAGCTTTATAGCTTAACGTTAGCTTTTTGCTTCTGACGGTTGCATTTAAACTTAAACTATTATAACAGTTGAGTTAACATTGGGGGATAATCCTGCTGAACACAACGTGTAAGTACTATAAATGTGTGTTTGCCAAAGATGTGGAATATTCCAAAATCCAATGGAAAAATCCCCATTGCTTTTTGTTTAAGAAGCCCTAGCGATATTAACTTCCTGGTGAGCCTACAGATATACATCATCACTGCACAACCATACACAGGTATTCCTATATCACCATTGCTGTACTATGTTGTGGTACTGAACAATGACATAATCTCAGTGGCCTGCAGTACCTCGTTCTGCCACGGGATGGAGACGCTGCCTGTGACAAACTTGTGGTAGAAGTCATCGTCTGTGGGGTCAAGGTTCACGCCTTTGACGGTGGAAAACTGCTCGATGTCCAGGACGTCTTTACAGTACACGGCTCGAGGCTATAAGAGACAGAGAATGAAAGAAAGAAAAGAGACAACTGTGAAAAGTGTGTTTATATCAGATTAAAGAGGGGGAATACCAATCCTTGAATACTTCCAAGTCAGATGGTTATTATAACAACATGGGAGTTTTCACACGCCTGAGGACAGCTCTGTTTTCTTCAGCGAGACCCAACTGACCTGAATAACCAAAAATAGAAACGCAGATATCGCACTATCTACTTTCAACTATTGATTTAACCTCTGAGGCCAGTTGCTGTCTCACTCAGCATTGTTATGACTTTGAACAGTAACGATTCTCTTTGAACAGGCGCAAATCTATGAACGCAGCACACAATAAAAGCTATGGAAGTTCTGCATTACACTCTACAGTTTCACACTACTATCATACCCACTACCATTGACTGTTTACCAGCTCAACTGGAGGTATTAGTGATGATAAATATACCATTGTTTTATAAGCATGTTTTATCCATGTCCGCAAGTTTAGGATTGCTAAGGACGACACTGAAATCACATGCCTGCTTCTCATCGCCCTCACTAGCTGCCATGATAACTAGCTTATACTGAAAGTGTTGGTTTACTTGTGACAATGGTATTTCCTGTATGCTGATTTCCAGCACGCCAAGGATCTCAGGCAAGAAGCTGTGAATCGAGCCTGTATGCCCTGTGAGAGTGTGTGTGTATGTTTATGTGTGTGTGTGAGCACTGTGCTTACATCGGGGCTGAAGGGAGGGTCCAGCATGTTGGCCTCCAGCCGTTTGAAGTTGATGTTTCTGAAGATGGGGTGCTGCTTGACCTCTACGGCCCCTCGACCCTGACACCCGAGCCGCTGCTTGGGGTCCTTGGACAGGAGCTGTCACGCAGCGGGAGGATAAGGAAAAAGAAGAAAAACATGTGAAAACATTACAACCCTATAGAGATGTGCGTGTTAGAAGTACTCAGATCCTACACTTAAAGGGGCCCTATTATGCTCATTTTCAGGTTTATATTGGTATTGTGTGCCTCTACTGTGACATGTTTCCATGCTTGTTGCATGCTCAAAAAGCTCTTTATTTTTTTCATACCGCCTGTTCTGCAGCACCTCTTTTCACCCACTGTCTAAAACCAGAGCCCAGGCTGCTCTGATTGGTTAGCTGGCTAGCTCTGTTATTGGTCAATGGCTTAGAGATGCCCTACCACTAAGCCTATTGCGTACAATGTGTTGGTGCGCATTAACATTTTACATAATGATGTCATTATGTTACAGAAGTTAGCACAGGAGTCCAATCGAGGAGTTTCAGGCAGGGGGGGGGAGTGTGTGGGAGAGAAACTCCATCTGAAGGGAACTTTGAGATTTTAGCCTTTGCAGACCATTTACATGCACAAAAACCTATATTACACACTACAGGGAAGGGAACCCCCAAAAAGCACGATAGGGCCTCTATAAATGTATTTAAAATGCCTAAGCAGAAGCATATACAGTGGGGCAAAAAAGTATTTAGTCAGCCACCAATTGTTCAAGTTCTCCCATTTAAAAAGATGAGAGGCCTGTAATTTTCGTCCTAGGTATACGTCAACTATGAGAGACAAAATGAGAAAAAAAAAAAATCCAGAAAATCACATTGTTCTGATTTTATAAAAGACTTATTTGCAAATTATGGTGTGGAAAATAAGTATTTGGTCAATTAACAAAAGTTCTCTCAATACTTTGTTTATATACCCTTTGTTGGGCAATGACAGAGGTCAAACGTTTTCTGTAAGTCTTCACAAGGTTTTTCACACACTGTTGCTTGTATTTTGGCCCATTCCTCCATGCAGATCTCCTCTAGAGCAGTTGAATGTTTTGGTGCTGTCGCTGGGCAACACGGACTTTCAACTCCTCCAAAGATTTTCTATGAGGGGTTGAGATCTGGAGACTGGCATAGGCCACTCCAGGACCTTGAAATGCCTTCTTGTACGAAGGCACTCCTTCGTTGCCGGGCCGGTGTTGTTTGGGATCCATTGGGTCATGCTGAAAGACCCAGCCACGTTTCAACCTTCAATGCCCTTGCTGATGGAAGGAGGTTGATCACTCAAAATCTCACGATACATGGCCCCAATTCATTCTTTCCTTTACACGATCAGTCGTCCTGGTCCCTTTGCAGAAAACAGCCCAAAGCATGATGTTTCCACCC